TACTGCATTGGGTGGATATTATTAGGTACAGTACCCCAGTGTTATTAAATACAGTTCCACTGGAGTCCCTAATAACTGTACCTACCACAGCACACTGCAGCATCACCTTTTCATTCCACTTCATGCCCACAGCAACATTAGCCACTTCACAACATCTGTGAGAGAAAACAAAAATCATCCTATTTTTTACAGCACATCTTTAGCCACAATGAGGTAAAGACAAAATCATGCCAAGAGGAAGGGATATTAGAAAAAACCTTAAAGAACCAAGTTTTGAGTGAGGAGTGAAGCTTTATGATTCAAACGTCAGATTTAAAAATTAATTTTCTTGCTGCTTATCACCCTTTGGTAACACAAAAATGCCTCTTACACAAATCAGCCGATGAGTAGGGGCTGTCTTTCAACACACTAGTGTTTCTATTTTGCTTCAAAGGATCAGTGATTAAAATATCAGAATAAAATAGAAACAACTTGAGTTTGTAGACAGTACATGAGGAAATTAAGTGGGTTAGGAAGTTTAGTTTAAGCCCTTCATCCTATTTATTTATTTATTGTAGTTGTTTTTACAAGGAAAGAGCTACGTTTGCTTTAAAGCCAAAGACCTGCATACATGTATGACATGATCTTGCAATTTATTTGGAAGTAAGTTCCACTAATATGCTTTTTTTTTCTTTCTTTCTTTTTTGAGACTTTTCCTACCTTTCCTGTCAACTACATGGTCTAATCTAATAGGCTCTGAGCATATGTGCAAGCTACCACAGGGCATGCTAAGGGGTATGTTTCATAACTGTTCTTCTATGGTAACTGGATTGGGGTTATCATGAAGTAACTGCATGAAGTGACATGAAGTTCCATTTTACAATCTAGCAAATGAAAGGCTGACTTGTATGCTGACACCAAAAGATACTTTTTCCACAGAATTATTATTGCAAGAGCTCTGTTCTATTTAATGTGGAGTCTGGTTAGCTTTTTTTATGGCAGTCAGTCTGCTCTGAGTGTTGTGGATACTATTTTGTTGTGCCCATTCACATTGGTTGCCTCAATATGGAATTTTCTAGCATATTGTCTTAGGCTAGCTAGTTCTTGCGAGGCCCAAGTCCATTAAGTCCATTTGTCTGACCTCCTTCTTTGTGTATGCAACTTGCAATCCCCTTCTCCATCTGCCACTAATAGCGTCCTGACATGACTGGCCAAAGCTCTCCATTCTCACCTTTGGGATAAATCTGTGTTCTGGTATTTCCGCAGCAGACTTCAGGGCACATAACCTTTCTGGCAAAAGATAGGATTTCCCTCTGCCCTCCCAGGGCTGCGCCTTCTGTTAGCCATGATCTCAGAGCAAATTTCACTAACAGGTTTTAGTGAGATCAGCTATCACACCATCTCCCATATAGCCTTTTCTCTTGGAAGCAGCACAGTTGCGCGGGATGAAACACCATTGTAAGTACTGTCCTGGATGTGCCAACCTTCCAAATTTAACTACATATCTGCATGCTGCCTGTCCAGAAACATCTGGTTAATGTGTGAACAGTTCCCAACACTCTCTCAACATCCCGCCTTACTGAAGAGGATGCATTTCAAGCCAATGTGTTGGGCTTTTGTAACAAACTTTGGTATATGCTACTACTCTTACAACTTCAGGGAGAGACAATATTTGAATTTTTGTAGGTCCTTTTGATTTGGAATAGAGATTAACTGCTACTGGGTGATACTCAGCACAACCCTGGTCACCAGGCTGTGCAAGTCTTGTTTACACAAGGAGAATCATTCAATCTGAGTGTTCCTTTGCAGTCACATCCTTAGCACACTACGAGCTCAAAATTTTCTCCTCCGTAGGCTGCTCCTTACACAACTTGATTTACTCAGTTCATCTCTGGGTCTTTAGTGTTTTTCTTCATAACAGTCTTCCTTCTGGTTATGATAAAACAAATGCACAGTCTTTCCAAGAAACTCTGCTTCAGTCATTCATATTCTTAACCAGCTGTAGTTTTGCATGAAGTATGTGCTTAACTCTCTTACAGCAATTTCAAGTGAAGGACTGTGGTTGAACCTGACAGTTTCAAGAAAAAGCAACGCTACCTGTCACATTCCCAACAGACTTTAAATAATTGCATATTGTTGCAGGACATCCTTTGAAGTTCCTCTTCACTGACATTAGATTGCTTGGCTCTCCTAGTTTCTTCACAAAAGTATCTCAAGTATTAATACTCCACTCTTTCCTTAGCACTCATATGTATGTATGCTTGTATTTTCTCCCACATCTCCTGAACTGTCTGTGCACAACAACTCACGAGTACATTACAGTTAATCTTTAAACACTACTAAGGGGAAAGGCATATTCTTTCTACTCAAGGGGAGCAAGCATCTCAGTGCTCAGAGGAAATGACTGTCAGGAGTTAAGTAAGATCAGAGTAGTAATGGAGGGGATGGAAGGCAGTCTTTCTGTCTTGAGTTTGAAGGCTGTGTGGAAAGCTACACAGGTATCCTAAAGCACAGACATATGTTTTTTAACATTACAATCTATCTGGCTGCAAGAACCTTCCCTTTTAAACCATGTTTTAGGGCAGGCCCAAACACTATGTGGTATGCAGCTTATAAAAGAGCAGCTCAAAGATCAGTTTCAATGCTTATCTAAAGCATGGTAATTAAGACAGATATGAAAGAGAATGTCTAAGAGTAGAATGGTGCTTTGCAGGAAGTGGCTTCTCTCCCTGTGGAGGAAATGCTAAGGTGCATAGACATAAAAGACACAGATATGAAATTAAATAAAAGGCTGAGACTGTCCCCATTTCAGCTTCATTTTTGCTGTGATGATGTAAAACTAGTCTGCATGGGATCAACACCTGAGAAAAAAAATGCAGAGGGGAGAAAAACCCAGTAAAGCAAAAGTAGGGAAAACACAAGAACTGAAAGCTATGCTGACTTGAAGACTTGATTTGAAGTACCTTCAATTCAATAAAAAAGCCCTTTTTGCTTTCAAATATTTTGGTCAAGGCCTGTCTGCATTGAGAATCAATGACTTGCCAACCTTTTCTTACTCAGTTAAGGCATCTTCAGAGCAAATAAATGCTGTGGGTGGAAAAAGTATTAGCATTTTTTTTTTTTTTTTAACTAGGAGAGGTTTGAGTGCAATACTTTAAAAAAATTCCCCAAGGTACTCACCTTTCCAGTTCCGTTACATGAAGTTTATTTTATGCCACAGTACGGTGTAAGGTACAGACTTCAACCAAGCTGGTCAACTTTCCCATCCCAGCTGCTCTCACACTTGCTCACAAAGCTGCCCCAACTCACTGGCTCGCCAAGCTTGTCTTGGCAGCTGTGGGGAGGAAAAAATAATAATAAAAAACCAAACCAAACCAAACCAAACAAACAAAAAAACCAAAACCAAACCAAACCAAAAAAAAAAAAAAAACAATAAAAAATTATAGAGGAAGCTTTGTTTTTCCTTCAGGAACTCAGACGTTCATTCAGCCTCAACTCTTGTAGTGTATTACTAGGCTAGTCAGTCTATTGTTCTTTGGCACAGCAGCCCATTACACTGTGATGTGCAAGGTGGGGACTGTACCTTTTTTGCATTTCCCATTGGAGACAGCTGCTGTGGAGCTGGGGGAAAGTGAACCCCAGCACCTGCACAAAAAGCTTGCATCTGCTATAGAGATACAAATCTACTTTAAACTGATAAATAAAGCAGGAACGCTGTCAGCCTGATGGTGTTTGTGTATGTTCTCGTGTTTTTCTACAAAGATGGGCTGAAATAAAGATACTGAACCTAAAATACTAACATTTTACTCTAAACTTGCATTATCGAAAATATGACTTCAATCTTATTTGGAGCTAGCCCTGCGCGGTGTATGTCTTTCTATATATTTTACACATGTAAATGACATCTGGGTTACAACAGTTCACATACACAGCGCGGGAACACGGACGAGCGGGTGTCGGGGTGCGCCCATCCCCGATCCCCGATCCCCGCCCCATAGCTCAGCCCACGGCGACCCCCCAGGGCCCGGGGAGCGCGTGTGGAGGCGGCACCGCCTCCTTTGGGTGCCCGAGCGGCGGCGGCGGCCATCTCTTGTGCGGGTAAGGGCGCTGGCGTCAGGCACCATGGCAACGGCGGCCATGTCGAGCGAGGGCAAGCAGCAGGCCGAGGAGCGTCCATGACGGGTGAGGGCGAAATGGCGGCTGAAAGGAGCGGCCGCCAATCACACCGGCCGAAGGGCGGTGCCGAGTGACGTCTGCCCAGCCTCACACGGGATTGGACCGCCAGCGGCAGCAGTGACTTCCGGTGGGCCGGGGCAAGGTGGCGGCGGCTGGTTTTGGGGTGTGAGTGTGGGGTCTGTGGGGCGGCCGCACCGCGCTGGGTGTTCGGGGAGGGGCGGGAAGGGAGGTCGGGGTGCGGGGGAAGGAGGGGATCGGGGGCGGAAGCAGTGTTAGTGTACCCCCGTGGAAGAAGGGGTGGGCCTAGGGGGCAATAGGTGTGGATGTGTCGCGGGGAGCTGCGGCTGGTGTGGGGCTGCCCAGGGATGCAGGAGAGGCCGTGGCGGGCGTGGGGCTCTCGGTGCTCGGGGGTCAGCGCCGGAGGTGCGCAGTAGGGGTGTCCAGCCGCGGGTGCGGGCGTTGGTGGTGTAGGAGGCTCCTGGGTGTGCGTGGGGGGTTTGCCAGTGGGCGTGGAAGGCAAGGGACCGGTTTGTGGGGATCAGTGAAGCGGCTTCGTACTTGTGCTTGGGGAATGAGTGGCGATTTGGACGGGGTTTTTTGCTCTGTGTGGAGAGGAGTCTTGGGTGGGTGGTGTGGGGCTTCATTAGGTGTCTCTAGGGGGGAAATCTCTGGGATTTGTGTGGGTGGCCACAACAGGGTTTTGTGATGCTCCAAAGGGCTGCGGATTATATGAAAAAAAAATGAAAGCAGAGAACGGCTGGTGTGTGTAGGAAGCTTCTTTGAAAGGTTTTTTGACTAAAAGTGCCACAAGCATGTGAAAGGGCTCAAACATAGTTGATGGACATGGGTTGTAGATGGGTAGCTGAGTACTGGGCCTGGGGAAGTTTGCTCTCTTCAGGTGGTTGATGGTGGTCAGAGTAGATGATTTTTGGCCAGTGGCAGGTGTGGGGAGTGCCAGGTGGAAGTGTGTTTGGGTCTTTGTGTAAGGCGGTTTTAACTGTAAGAGGGGGATTAAGATGAAGCTGAGTCTCTGATAGGGGAAGACAGTCAGTATTTGATGAGTCAGTGTGATCTGTGTGTGGAGAGAGAATAATGTAAATAGCCTGGGACAGAGTAAGGTTGAGTTCCTAAAGGAAAGAGAAGGTCTGTGGTCATGAAAAATTAGTGTGTCAGGTCCTGGTGTACAGTATGTGAGGAAGTGAGTAGTGCGGAGAGGTGGAGCTAGAGCTGGAAGGGATGGTGTCAGGAGGCAATGGAAGAAGTACTTTGTGGACAGAAAATGTGAAAGGCAGTAGTCACTGGTGGCTTGCTGGACTGATAGGTAGCATATGTTTTTAGTAACAGCTGTTTCCCCCACCCCCTCCAATGGCCTAGTCATTCTAGCTAATATCACTGCCCACTGAATTTCATAGCTAAAAGGAGGAAAATAGTTAAGTGGAAGTTGTCTTTGCTTATTTTTTTATTTTATTTTTTACATGTATTTAATGCTTATGTTAAAAGACAGGCTACAGGACCACTATATGTGCTGTTCTGGCAACTCATTTAGAAATAATCTTTATATTGCAATGCCAAGCTACAGTACCTGTTAAATTATAAGATTTGGCAAAGCAGTGTACCACCTTAATCAGAAGCACTGAACAAGTGATCTGCAGAGATCCCTTCCAGCCTCAGCTGTTCTGTGATTCTGTAACTAGTAGTCCAGAGCTTTTCAGATTGCATTAATTTCAGAATAAATATTCTTCAAACATGCCTGCATCTCTCCTGATACACAGGAAAACTCTTCAAATGGGTCTTTACAAACTTTGTCTTGGAATCAGTGTTCAGTTCCATAGGATTTGTAAGGTCTCTATGTAAGCTCTTACAGGGTTCATCTTCAAGGTATTGCTGCCCTCAGCTTTAACTGATTTTGAATATTGATAGAATAAGAACAGTTTGGTTGATATGAAGTGAACTGGTGCTACATGTACACCATCTCAGTTGCTTGTTAAAATCTAACCCAGGTAATTTTTATTAATACAGAGAGAAATCAAAAAAGCAGAGACTGAGCCTGCATGAAGATTTTTTGCTAAAGAATGTGATAAGGTACAGTGCTTTCATTTTAACATTACAGAGCAGTGCATTTTTTTCCCATCAACTTGCTGTTTACAGTGCTAATCCTAATGATGTCTTTTAAGACTTAATGTTTGACCAGTATTTTCCAAAACCTTTTGAGTTATATGGTCTGTATTGTGTTGGGCATCTTGTTACCGTGATAGATCAGTCTATTAAAAACCCTAAATCGAGTTGATTGTTTTGAGCGTGTGCTTGCTGGCGATTTTTTAAGTGTTCTTTAATGTTCAGGAAGAATTTAGGGTGGGAGTCTATATGCTTCAGCCACCATGTCTGGAATTGGCAATAAGCGGACAGCTGGAGAGCCTGGCCCTTCTGCACCTCCAGAGAAGAAGGCGGGGGTTGAAGATTCAGGGACCACAGTGGAGACCATTAAGCTTGGTGGCGTTTCTTCAACGGTATGTCTTCCTTGCACAACCCCACTCAACCTCTTGCTTATTTTTCATCTGGAAACAAAAATATCTCTGTGTCTTCTGTATGAGCCCAGTGATCTGGCTTATGTGCAATGTGCCCTGACTTGTACCTCTGCACAGGAGGAGATGGATATCCGGACCCTACAGACCAAGAACAGGAAACTAGCAGAGATGCTGGACCAGCGGCAAGCCATTGAAGATGAGCTACGGGAGCACATTGAGAAGCTGGAGCGTCGGCAGGCAACTGATGATGCCTCTCTACTGATTATCAATCGGTACTGGAATCAGGTTAGTAACACACTGTGTTATTTTATATACACTGTTCTTGTGTCTCTGCTTCTATTCCACTGCACTCCTTTTATTCACATCCATTCTTTGTCTTGTCTTGCCTGTTCCATTGTTCAGTTTGATGAAAATATCCGCATCATCCTTAAACGCTTTGACCTGGACCAAGGTCTTGGAGACCTTTTGTCTGAAAGAAAAGCACTGGTGGTACCAGAACCCGAACCAGACTCGGACAGTAATCAGGAGCGCAAAGATGAGAGGGAACGAGGTGAGGCACCTGGCTGGGGACAGTGGAAAAGATGGATTTCAGCTGTGAAAAATGTTGATGTCCCTTTCTGAAGGGTGACAGACGCTCTCTGGTTGTACAGATTAGTGATATATCGCCTGCCAAAGCACATTTATTTTTTTGCACCTCTTTCTGTTCCCAGGTGAAGGACTGGAGCCAGCATTCTCCTTCCTAGCCACTCTAGCCAGCAGCACTAGTGAGGAGATAGAGTCTCAGCTGCAGGAGCGTGTAGAGTCCTCCCGTCGTGCTGTTGCCCAGATTGTGATGATGTATGACAAGCTGCAGGAGAAAGTGGATGTGCTGTCCCACAAGCTGAATAGTGGAGGTATGACCAAGGTGCTGATCCCTGGCTGATATTCAAGAATCCTCATCTACCTCCAGCTTAGACATGATTCTGCATTGCAAGTATTAAGGCCTAGTCCTTCTTATGCTTGTTTATTTTCCAAAATTGGCTTAGCTTTCCAAACTCTCAATAACCAAACTCTTTCATAAAGACTAATAGCATATGCTAGGAGCATATTATAACTGCCTCTGAATTTGAATGCTGAGAGCTCTGCAGTGTGTTGGGCTAAGGAAACACTTGTTCCTTGCAGTAGTGTGTTCATCTACCTGAGAAGTGACAGATTACAGTTGAGCCTTATGACTCAGATGTCCTCCGCCACTGTGTAAAAGACTTGATGCTTACAAGTAAAGAAGTGAAATCAGTATTACAAACTGATGATGTTGGATTCCTTCTCTGTTGACGTTTAGTAAATAGGGTAGGAATAACCAGCTCCTTGGTTTCCACAGAGTTTTGAACAAAATAGTAGCCATCTAATGTCTTGGCATGCCTAGTGTAGCTGTCAGTTTTGAACACAAAGCAGAGTTTGCGGAAGAAAGCCAAATGACTACCTTCTGAAAATTAATGTAGCAGGTTCAAATTATACTCAGATGACTCTATGAAAAACGTCATTAGTTGGGCTAGAATTTTAATCTTTTGAATTAAAATTTAGGTGGAATATCAACTCATCCTTGGTTTGCCTTCTGTCTAGAGTGCTCTAATTAAGGATACTCTAATCAAGAAGCTCTGGCAAGTCTAGCATTGGTGCTGTGAAGCATAACTCTCCTTAGCTGACAGTCTTAAACTCTAGTGGCATTGACATTAGTGCAATGTGAGCCTGTACTCATACCAAATGACAGTTTGGTATGTTAGCTCAAGCCACCTGTTGTGTCAGGTTTGCACATTAGTTTAATCTGCATTAGGGTGTTACTGGGTTACAAGGGCATGTTCTGTGTTGCTGATACTAACACAGTTGGAATGATTTCTGACATTAGGGGATGGTAACTGACAATCAGAAATGTGTAGTATGTTAAAGTGCAGAGCCTTTTGCTTAGTGAATGCAAGTCAAAGCTCTGCAGCGCTGGATATCAGACCCTCAGGAACCACCTGCTGGAGAGATAGAGTAAGCAGAAGTTAAAATCAGAAATTTCTTTTTCTGTTTTCTTTTTTCTCCCTTTGATCTTTAAGAATTAAAACCAGTCTTCCTTGATTTCCATTCATTTTCTTTTCTTTATGTATCTCTCAGATATTTCGTTGATGGAAGAAGCAGTCCTGGAGCTTAATACATACCTCTCACATGAAAATGGACGGCTGCAGGAGCTGGCTGATGTTCTTCAGGAGAAGCACCGAATCATGTCTCAGGAGGTATAAAAAGGAGAGAAAGAAATCTGCTCTGGGGTCCTGCTTAGAATAATTTGTGGTTACCTGTATTGGGTTTACATGGCAAAGTTTTGGTAGCAGGGGTGCTACAGGTGTGGCTTCTGTGAGAACCTGCCAGAAGCTTTCCCTGTGTCCAGCAAAGCCAACACCAGCTGGCTCCAAGGCAGACCTGCCGCTGGCCAAGGATGGGCCTATCAGCAATGGTGGTAACACCTCTGTGATAACATGTTTAAGAAAAGGGAAAAAAGATTGTGGGAGAGCGATTGCAGCCAGAGAGAGGAGTGAGAATATGTGAAAGAAACAAGCCTGCAGACACCAAGGGCAGTGAAGAAGCATGAGGAGGAGGTGCTCCAGATGCCAGAGCAGAGATTCCCCTGCAGCCCGGAGTGAGGACCATGGTGAGAAATGCTGTCCCATGCAGCCCACAGAGGTCCATGGTGCAGCAGATCTTCACCTGCAGCCTGTGGAGGACCCCATGCCAGAGCAGGTGGATGTGCCTGAAGGAGGCTGTGACCCCGTGGGAAACCCGTGCTGGAACATACTCCTGGCAGGACCTGTAGCCCCATGGAGAGAGGAGTCCACACTGGAGCAGGTTTGCTGGCAGGACTTGTGTCCCTGTGGGGGACCAATGCTGAACCAGTCTGTTCCTGAAGGACTGCACCCTGTGGGAGGGACCTACACTGGAGCAGTTTGTGACTGGAGCTGCAGGCCGTGGGAGGGACTCATGTTGGAGAAGTTCATGGAGGACTGTCTCCTGTGGGAGGGACCCCATGCAAGGGAAGAGTGTGAGGAGTCCCTGTGAGGAGGAAGGAGCAGCAGAGACAGCATCTGATGAACTGACCACAACCTCCATTCCCCATCCCCCTGTGCTGCTGGAGGGGTAGAAAAATCAGGAGTAAAGTTAGGCCTGGGAAGAAGGGAGGGGTAAGGGCAAGGTGTTTTAGGGTTTCTTTTATTTCTCATTGCCTTACTCTGATTTCATTGTCCATAAATTAAGTTACTTTTTCCAAGTTGAGACTGTTTTGCCAGTGACAGTAATTAGTGAATGATCTTTCCCTGTTCTTATCTCCACCCACAAGCCTTTTGTTACATTCTTTCTCCTGTCCAGCTGAGGAAAGTGAGTGATAGAGTGGCTTTGGTGGACACCTGGCATCCAGCCATGGTCAACCCACCACATTAGTATAGCTTGGAAAGCAAGTTACTGCCTTGGAGAGGCACAGGAGCAATGTGGTTTGAGAGTTGCCTCCGAACAAAGGTTATGGAAAGGGTGGTTGTTGTGGAGGACTGTATATAAATTTTCTGTATAATTTGGATTGATTTGCTGGTTACATCACTGGATGAAAAAGTATAACCAAACCGGTGAGTTGGATGGATTTAATTTTAAAGGAAGACAGAGCAGAGGAAGTGGTAAAGTGATGCTAAGGTGGTTATGTAAACATCTGAGACACTTGACATGGCATCAGTGTAATTTCAGATTCCTTGTTTTCTCTGCATCATGTGTGAAAGTATAATGACATTAATTACAAGTTGATTCCAGTCATTAAGTGATTTACATTATTGGCAGTATTTGTTTCAGAGGTTTCAGTTACTTTAAAAACTGTATTAACACTGGCCTTGCTCAGTGTTAGACCACCAAGCACTTCAGTGGTCTGTAGAATGGATGAACATATGGATTGAAAAGTCTAAAAAACCAAAAATCCCTTGAATAATCTAAGGTGGCTGCATATATATACTGCCAGATATTAGCAGCTTCTTGCTCTTCATTTTTAGTTTTGTTTTATTTTCATTACCGTGTTGGGATTCAGCCAGTGTAAATTCAGGACAGTTCATTGCATAGTCTGTTGCCACGGCAAAAGGTGAGTGGAAAGCACGAGTCTGGGGTATGATGTATGAGAGAAAAATGAATACTGAACAGTCTCAGAAAGTGTTGATTTTATTCAGTATGCTGAATAACTCTTTTGATTGCAGTTCTCTAAGCTGCAAGAGAGAGTGGAGACAGCAGAATCTCGAGTGTCTGTTCTGGAGACTATGATTGATGATCTTCAGTGGGATATTGACAAGATACGCAAGAGGGAGCAGAGGCTCAACCGGCACTTAGCAGATGTTCTGGAACGAGTAAGCACCATCCTCTCTGCCCTGAAACCAGATAAATGGTTGTAGTTTTGAGATGTGTAACATCATCTTATGGTACTATGCTGTGAGAAGTGAGAATTTGTAGTGTACCATCTTGAATATGCTGTATTATCAGTCTTGGCATTTAATTGGGTATTGATGAAATCTGTTGCCTTTTTTGCAGGTAAACTCCAAAGGCTACAAGGTATATGGAGCTGGGAGCAGCCTCTACGGGGGCACAATCACTATTAATGCCCGCAAGGTAATGTCAGGGGCTTGGTTGTGGGCAAGGGAGGAGAATGAAATCAATGAGAACTTGTGCATAGGGCCATAGAATGGAACAGAATTTAGATACCTTCTTTGGCACAAATCTGTGTGACACTGGGCAAGCCATTTTGTCCGTGTACGAGTTTCCTACCTATGAAACACACCTGTTGGAAATAGACTATGTCTCACTTGGTAATGTCACCTGACAGTTAAGTCTGTAATTTCTGTTACTGTATTACCAGTTACTTAATTAGTATCCTCAGTAGATGCACTAACAGTAGGATTTAAAGGCAGTTTATCCCCAACAGTTTGAGGAGATGAATGCAGAGCTGGAAGAGAATAAAGAGCTTGCTGGGAATCGCCTCAGTGAGTTGGAGGAACTACGCCAGGATCTTGAGGAGGTAACAACACAGAATGAAAAACTCAAGGTGAGACATCTGTACTTATTTGAGGATGAAGGTGTTCTTTGTGGTTGGTTGCCCCCAGTCTTGCCATACAGTGTCTCTGGAAAACCTCAATAATACTAGTCTATTCTGTACTTGCTCTTTAGCTGGTTATATTTTGTACATGGTACAATTTAGTAAGCTTGTGTGACTTACACTTGCAGTTCAGTGCATTGGTGACACCATGTGGTCATCACTAGAAATTTTAATGGTTACTGATTTTCTGTTTTCCATTCTGATATATTCAGTAAATCTTAATGACATCTCATGGAAACTAATTTAATTTCTTCACAAGTACTGACCCCTCTTCCACCTTCCCTCTGCCCCATGCAAGTGGAACTACAGAACTGAAAACATCAAGGAACTTGTATAGGAGACATAGGCTCTTAAAAGAGTTGATGAACTTATATCTTTCCCAGTGTGGTAGAAAGGATAGATAAGAAACAGCATATGAGTATCTTATGTCTTAAAGGTGATAATGCAAAAACCTGTGACTATAGTAGATAAGTACATGATACAGAAAATCTAAATTTTATTTTAGTGCTCAATAGATCTGTTAGCCTGTTATAAGAAACGTCTGAGCTGATAACCTAAGTTTCAGAGATGAGATTCCAGAAACTGTCTTGAGGCACTTCAGTTATGTTTATCTGCGAGTTTGAGAAAAACAGCATTTGGCTTTCTTTTTCTCTTAAGTAATATTAAGATGTATGTGTGTATATATGTGTCTGTTTCACTGCTGGTAGTCACAGTCATTTGCTAACGTTATTTTGTTAGGAAAATTCAGATTCTCTACTACTTTCGCTTTCTTTCATCTTCCTTTCAGTCGTTATGTCTCTTAGTGGTAGAAAGCTAACATATTGCCTACTCGCACATGTATTTTCTCTAGTTTTCTATCATACTTTTCTGTATGTCCATCTTTATTGATTTAGGTGATTATGGTTTTACAGTAAATCCACTGAGATGGTGTATCATGTTTTCCAAGCTCCACTCTTTGAGAGAAACTATTGCAGAATGTGAGAATCAAAAGCTTTTGTCATGTGCAGGAGAAGCATCCTAGTGCATACAGAGAAAGCAGACTTTTTTAATATTGATACTGAAATATATCACTGGCATCTACTTCACAGCAATGCTATTAAAGTGATACTTTTGTCTTTGCTTGTGGCAGCTTGATTCACTGTTCTACCTTGCAAGATATATACCAAAGATAAGGAGATACTTTTTTTATTTCTGTGGCATTTTCTTGTGTCCTGACCAGGTTGAGCTGCGACGAGCAGTGGAAGAGGCTGTGAAGGAGACTCCAGAATACCGCTGCATGCAGTCCCAATTTTCTGTTTTGTATAATGAGAGTCTCCAGCTGAAGGCACATCTTGATGAGGCTCGCACTCTGCTTCATGGCACCCGCACCACACACCAGCGCCAGGTGGAACTAATTGAGGTAGCATTGCTGCTCCATCTGATTAGGGAACACTGTCATCCCATTGGCCATTGCAGCTGGATCTGGGTAGCTCTGGGAATGTTTAGGAAATTTATCTTCCTGTCAATAATTCATCTGTTCTGTTGATGTTCATCTCACACTGATGAGGTGAGAGGTACGCCAGGGTCACAGCACCAAGTTCTGTCCTATTCTTACTCCTCAGAGGGATGAGGTCAGCCTTCACAAGAAACTACGCACAGAGGTGATTCAACTAGAGGACACCCTGGCACAAGTCCGCAAAGAGTATGAGATGTTGAGGATAGAGTTTGAACAGACACTTGCTGCCAATGAACAAGCAGGTATGGAGTTTTTCTGCTGTGCTTAAAAAAATGCCTCCACCGCAGCCCCCCACCAATGTTCATTGGAGGCTGCATTGCAGTAAAACACCTGCTTTGCTTATTTGTTATTGTTACATACTTGTTCTGGCAAGTCTCTATCTCAAAAAAACAAAGCTCTTCATGTGTTTTACGGAAGGTCAGTTCCACATTATCTGACTTCCTTTTAGATACTGCAAAATACATACATTTTGCTAATAATTTGGTTTATGACAGAGTATTTTGCATTATTAAAAATTACTTTTTTGGGGATTCATTTACAAGTCTGGAATGATAACCTGGATAGGAAACGAATAATTTTCAAACTTCATCAGAGGAAATAAAGTTATTTCTGAAGTAATATTTAAATCATAGATTTTTTTTGTAGCATGACACATTTCCTTTAGGAATGTGGGAGAAAAAGGTAATGTTAAAGGGAAATTAGGACTGGGAATTTGCAAGGACTTGTGGTTGCATGTAAAACTGGGATGACTTTTTTTTTTCTGCAGATGTGTTGATCTGTTGTGTGGCAGAACAATAATAGCCTTATTTTGGTTGTTTGTCATTGTCACTTAGTTTGTTCTTCATCTCTGTGAAAGTCCTTGCAGAAGGTTGGCAAAAGTGTGGTTTGTTACAGTTGCGTTTCTGATTTTGTAGGCCCAATTAATCGGGAGATGCGTCATCTCATCAGCAGCCTCCAAAATCACAACCACCAGCTGAAGGGAGAGGTGTTAAGATACAAGCGCAAACTGAGAGAGGCCCAATCTGACTTGAGCAAGGTATCAGAGCATGAAATGCCAGAAGAGAGCAGAAAGTGCTTAGCAGAAGGGAATGCTGTCACCCTTGCCTGCAATATCAGCTTTTCTGGTATGCCATGCAGGATGAAATGTAACTTTTGATGAAGCTCTACACTGCTGCTTCCACTTACCAAATGAATGGTTGTCTTTTGTAGCTGTGTAGTGCTCCATGAAAAATAGTAGCAGTTGTGGTGGGGGATGCAAGCATGGGTCTGGGAAGACAAGGTAAGTGGAGTTGAGGTAGATTTCTGGCTAAGAACTTAATGGTTTGTTTTCTGCATTGGCTTTCTTGCTATTCCATAATAGATCCGCTCTCGCAGTGGCAGTGCTCTCTTACAGTCCCAGTCCAGCACTGAAGATACAAAGGAGGAACCTCCAGAGATCAAGCAGGAATCTGATGATCCTTCTGCTCAAGTGTCTGTCCCCAAAGCTGCTTCTGAAGACGTTAATGAAATGAAGGCCAGGCGAGATGAAGAGGAACGAGAGCGAGAGAGACGAGAGAGGGAGAGGGAACGAGAGAAGGAAAAAGAGAAAGAGAGAGAGCGGGAGAAAGAGAAAGAGAAGGAAAAGGAACGAGAGCGGGAAAAGCAGAAGCAGAAGGAATCTGAGAAGGAGAGAGAGTCCAAAGAGAAGGAGAAAGGGAAGCATGAAGATGGAAGAAAGAAGGAGGCTGAAGTGATCAAGCAGTTGAAGGCTGAGCTGAAGTAAGAGTTGTCCTTCCCTTTCCAGCTTGAGTAGTGCCCAAACTGGGGTGTTTGAGATGACTTGTAGCTCGCTGTTATGAGATGAGCTTCACTGAAGTGAGAGGTTTCCAGCACTGTCTGTATCTGTTTGTGATTTGGACAATGCAGTAACATTTCTCCTACGACAGCCTAAAGCATGAATTACTGAACCAGATACTTCATGGTGTGGGTCAAGTAATCTTCATCTGTTGCTGCCATAACAACTGTGTAAAGCTTTACAGCAGCAGGTTATTATTAAAGAGCACAGTAGTCTTCCCCGTCTTGGGTCAGTACCAGCACACAGATTGATACTTTGTTGCTTGCTATTAGGGTGACCCCCACCCCATTTCTCTTGGCTTTTCAACCCATGTACCTAGACATGTTTCTTTTCAGCCTCCAGCCTGTTCTCTTTGGCTATTTTATGTTACTTGGGTAAGATGAGCCAAGGGATAACTCCACATGTATACCATGTGGGAGACAGAGAGGATACTACTCTGACTCTCATGCTGGATATGTGATGTTGTAATTTTCCTGCTGTGTTCTCACAGTTGTCTCTCTGTCTCCAGGAAGGCCCAGGAGAGCCAGAAGGAGATGAAGCTCTTGCTAGATATGTACCGCTCTGCTCCCAAAGAGCAGAGAGACAAAGTGCAGCTGATGGCAGCTGAGAAGAAGGCAAAAGCTGAGGTAAATCTAATTTCTCTTCCCTTTTTCTTTTCAGCATGTTACTTAAAACTTCTTTTCAGATACTCTGCACCTGGACTGTGTTGTTTTTGTCTTCAGAACTGGAGGTTATTCCTCTTATCTTTGTCATTTAGAAGGGAGATTGGAATGGTCTGGAGTTGAACAGGGAGATTTTGAGATGTGCTCTTCTGGGAAGGAATGATCCCTTTGTCTAGACTAAGGGACATGGCTCCCGCTTTCTCGGTTGTAGTTTCAACTAGTAGCAAAGCTCAGCATATGTCTCAGAAACATACACATGCAGAGGACACTGACACAGCCAGTCAGGCTGCTGCAGACAAGGTGCTGCCTTCAACAGCGTGTACATCTAGGACTTCTAAAACATAAACATAGACAAGTCCCCTTCTTCCTCTTCAGCTGGTAGAGATAGAATGTCCTAGTGCAGGCACATACACAACAATCTCTGGGTTCACAAGCACACACACATTCGCAGATCCCTCAGATACCAGTATGGCCACCCTGTCTGTCTGGTACCCCTGTAATCCTCAGCCCTCTTACCTTCTTCACATACAGGTCTCGCCTGTAGCAAGCATTTATTCCATGCAGCACACATACATATGGGGTAGAGATAGTTAAGAGAATATTTAATGAGAAGATAGGCAGCAGTGATCATGCACAAGGCTGAGCCAGACAAGTGTGTACTGACTGCCCACATTTTACATGTGATCATCTCCTTTTATACTTTCTCTAACCCTAATTTGTTCATCTTTGCTTTCCCTTCCCCTGCGTGCCCCTTTGTTTGTACAGCTCTATCAATTCCCGCAGCCCTCCCAGTCCAGGATCCACCCCTGGTTTACAGTCTTATCAGTTGCAAAGTCCAGGTTGATCTTCCTGGAAGTGGTGCCTGTAGTTTCTTGGTAGCCTATTAACTGGTGTGACTGGAGAGGTTTGTTTCTTGTTTTTGTCTCCATGTTTGTTTTGTCAGGTCTGTGTCTCTGTATATTTTGTTTCTGGTTTCTGCGCCCTGCCTTAGTTTCCCAATTTACAGGGTCCACAGTCAGATAACCTTGCTGGAGTAAACCTTCTCACATTCACATTCTCTCATCAATTAGTGTGACTGTTCCCATTAAAGGTTTGTAAAGGATAAGGTGTGGTAGAAAAAATATACCTATGTACACTGTTTTGTATGTGTGTGTGTGTATATATATATATATATATATATATATATAAATGATTTCTTAGTTATACTAAAATAGCAGAAACCAGTTGTGACTTAGCACAGCAAAAGCACACTTGCACACGTGCCATCAGCCCCACTAGCTGTGGCAGCACATGGTGCAGCAGAGTCCGGACTTCGAGACGGCAAGGCACCAATACTGAGCGGACGTCTCCACGACGACAGCGTTGGCCGGACTTGGTTGCCGCGCCGTGTCGCAGCTCCGGGTGAATTCTACACCCTCTGCATCCCGTCATGTAGGGCCAGGACGTGCCAGGAGGCGGGCAAAGCACGTCCTGACTGGTGTACTGTCAAAGCACCGCTTGCGCTTGCGCTGTAACAGAAAAGGTGGTCGTCTTGGCCCCTCGAAGGTCGTGACTTCATCCTCCCTCCTCTGCATCGCCTACCCAGCAATGTCCCTTGTGGTCTTAGTGGCATGCAGCCCAGTTTCATAGCGTGGGTAAGCGTGGGTAGAGGTCCGTTTTGCTGCTTCCTTCCTCTGATCTTTAACTTTCTTATGCTTTAACCTTCAGTTGTTACCTGACGTGTAGCTAAACAAGAACAGCGTCCCGTGCAGCAGTCACGCACACGGAGGCGCAAACCATAGAGACTTCTTCCATCGGATACAGTCTACCGATCAAAAAATAGATTTGCACTAACACAAACCATTTTTCCCATCACTAATACAGTGACTAATGAGCTTTGGTTCTCATCACTGCCTCTCTTACCATTTGTCATTCAGGTTTGTCTCTCTATTTTTAGCTTATGGCTTCCTCTTTTTCTTATTATCCATTTTTGTATTGAAAAAGGTCCTTGACCAGACACCCTTAAAGGAACAGATGCTGTCCGTCTGCATACCCTTACATACACAACTGCAAGAGACTAATGTTCCTACTATGATAAAAGATGATATGGAATTTTCAAAGGTTTTGAAATCAAGATCTTGGGCTTACAGCCCATCTTAATGGTTCATCTCCCAGTAATACACTGTCCTGTCAAGATGGGTTTTCTTTTCCCATGCATTGAAGGCAGTTTCTCCAGTGTTTAAGAGAACTGTGGGGAAAACAGGCTCTTAACAATCTTTAGGCCACATTCTTGTGTTTAGTGTAATTTGTTTTGTCCTTGCTGTAGCTGGAAGAACTGAGGCAGAGGGTGAAAGAATTAGAAGACAAGGAGAAGAAGGAGAGTAAAAAGATGGCTGATGAGGATGCCCTCCGCAAGATCCGAGCAGTGGAGGAACAAATTGAGTATTTACAGAAGAAACTAGCCATGGCTAAGCAGGTGAGAGGTTTCTTATGAGTTTTCTTTTGGCTGGAGCACCTGGGAAGGAACTGCCTTCAGGTTACAGCCAGGAAGAAAAAATAATTTCTGCCTCTGCATGTGCTTGAGATGTGAGTTTTGTTGCTGTTTATCCAAGGGGAGAAAACCCAACCAGTCAAAAAAACAGTGATCAAAAAAGCCCCACAACTCCTGGCTGTCACAAACCTCATGGCAGGGAGTGGTGGGGAATGTTTAATTGTTTGTGGCCTAGGTGAAGAGCACAGGGGAGAGATCAGCCTTTGGGGGAGGAGGTTACAATTTCTTTCAAAAGCTGTTATCCGCACAGTTCATATAATTAATACATGTGTGTTGTACCACGCCGTACCTTCTTTCACAAAAAAAGGGCTTAATATAATGATAAAGAGAGCAGGACCACTTCAGTAGGGGAGAGACAAGCCAGTGACTTGCCATGTACTTTTTTAGAATGTATTGTTTTCCTTATGGTACAAAACTGTTCTATCTTGTCACTTATTCAGTTGATATTGAAGTGGCTTAAATGAGTTTAATGGGCTTGGCAGCCTGTTAGTTGGAAGCTATTGAGTTGTCCACATGTAGTATTCTTGGCCTAGTGTATATGACAGTTATTCAGCTACCTGCCTGAAGCTGGGAGTCAATTTCTGCCCAGCTCTGGCAACAACTGTGCCGCAGCTGATTTTGCCAGCAGACAAGCCATAGTACGTGAGTGCTGGTGAAGATAACCATCTCTTTTCTACACCTTCTAATTCAGGGCATCTCTGCTGTGGTGCAGACTTCTAGGGAGCACTTTTTTTCTGGTTGCTGGGAAGACACTGTTCTCTAATACTGAGACATCTTTCTTCATCTGTGCTAGGTTTGATGTCTGAGTAAAATGTTCAGGGTCATTGTAAGGAGTACAGGAGACAGTTTTGCTAGAGCCTGTGATCCTTTTGCAGGAGGAGGAGGCCCTGCTGTCAGAAATGGATGTCACAGGCCAAGCCTTTGAAGATATGCAGGAGCAAAACATCCGCTTGATGCAGCAGCTGCGGGAGAAGGATGATGCCAACTTCAAGCTGATGTCGGAACGCATCAAGTCCAACCAGATCCATAAGCTGCTGAAAGAGGAGAAGGAGGAGCTGGCAGACCAAGTTTTGACATTGAAGACACAGGTAACATGGGAAAGGAGAGAACTGATGGGTGAAGGTGGAGGTGTTGTGGGTTAACTGGTAGGCGGCTAAGCTCCACACACCTGCTTGTTCACTCCCTCACAGTGGGATGGGGGTGAGGAACATAAGGGAAAAAGTGATAAAACTGGTGGGTTGAGATAAAGACAGTTCAATAGTTAGATGAAGGCTGTGCACACAAGGGAAGCAAAATAAGGAATTAATTCATCACTTCCCATGGCAGGCCATCTTCAGGAAAGTAGGACTCCATCATGTGTAATGGTGACTTAGGAAGACAAATACTAACTCTGAACATCCCCCCCACTTCCTCCTTTCCACCAGCTTTTATTGCTGAGCATGGCATCATATGGTATGGGATATCCCTTTGGTCAGTTTAGGTCAGTTGTCTCAGCTGTGTCCCATTCAAGCTTCTTGTGCATTGTCAGCCTACTTGCTGGCAGGCAGCATGAGACACAAAAGGTCTTGGTGCTGTGTAAGTACTGTTAAGCAATAGCTAAAACAGTAGTGTGCTACTGGGGCTGTTTTGGCCTGAAATCCAAAATTTAACACCATATGAGCTGCTATGAAGAGAATTAATTGTATCCCTGCCAAAATCAGTACAGGATGGAATGTTCCCCTAATCAACATAGGTATGCTGCATCAGACTTCCAAGGGACCTGTCTTAGTAAGAAACAGATTGCTGTATAAAACGTCCTACAGGTTCATTGCTGTCATGGTTTGAGCCTGGTCAGCAGCTAAATGCCACGCAGTTGCTCACCCACCCTCCCCCCACTTGGGAATGGGGAGGGAATCGGAGGGGCAAAGGGAGACTCACGGGTTGAGATAAAAACAGTTTAATAACAGTGACAGAACAACACGCTGACAGCAGTATCAGTGGGTAATGTACAATACAGCTGCTCACCACCCACTGATCAACACCCACCTGCTCCCAGCCAGTGATCCCAAACACAAAGGCCCCACAGCCACACTCCCAGAAGTGGCAGCCCCTCCTGGCCCTCTCCTGCCTTTATATAGTGAGCACAGTGTCACATGACAGGGGATATCGGCCAATCGGGGCCCAGCCCTCCAGCTGTGCTCCCCCCGCCCCCGCACACAGGTGAGGGCACTGGGACCTGGGGAGCCCCTGGGGTCTCAGGGTGCTGCAGCTCCTCCAGCTGCCAGACCAACGGGAGCTCTAGGCCAGCCCCAACCAGGACAATTGCTATGGTGAGCAGGAGGGAGGAGGAAAGTGGGAAGTAATTTTCCTGTGATAATGATACTTCCGCATATATATTCTACCATCTTTGGAACCAATGTGGAACTGTTCACTGCCTTACAGCAATTCTCTAAGCCACCTTCTAAAAAATAAGACCTTTTTGTTGCGAGTATTTGATTGCTAAGTTTTAAAGTGTTCACCAGAGACATCTGGTTACAGTTCTTAGACTGCTAGTGTGTCCCTGTTCAGGGAGAGAAAGACAAGCTGAAGAGGTATTCCTTGGTGGGGAGACAGGGATAGTTTTAGCATGCAGCTTTAATGACAACTCTGAAGACCTACAGAGCATGCACTTCAGTCCTTCTGTACCTTCTCTCTCCCCTTCCAAGGTGGATGCCCAGCTGCAGGTTGTACGTAAGCTAGAGGAAAAGGAACACTTACTGCAAAGCAGTATCGGAACAGGTGAGAAAGAACTAGGTCTCCGAACACAGGCCCTGGAAATGAACAAACGCAAGGTGAGTGCTTGCTTGATTTCCTTTGGATTGTAAGATGGAGTTGTCTTGTGGGAAGCATAGAAGGCTCCTAGCTCTTATTGGTATTATGTAACCCGATATTCCATCATTTTGGACGAGTATATCAGAAGGCTGAAAAGTCCTGAAGAGAGTGCTAATTGAAGTATTGCAGACTGATGTTTCCTTTTATAAGGAGGAGGTTATATGTGTTTCTGTGAAAGTCTGATTAGGGAGCTGAAGTAAGGTGCCTTGAAAGAAAACCTGTCGTGAAAGATGAGGCAGCAGCCAAATGAAGTTAACTGGAGTTAAAGCTTTTATAGGAAAGATAAAGCAAGTAAAAGGAAAATATGGCTAGGGAATGTTAAGACCTTTAACAAATGTCTAAGATCAATAAAGTAGGGCTGTTACAAGTAACATAAGACTAAGTCTCATGGTTGATGCTGCCCTTGTTAAATCTTTAGCAGAAATGCAGGAATTACCTTAAAACAGAAAGGAAAACGAAATATATTTGTGTAGAGGAGATGGGGGTAGTTCAGCACAATCACTTGTGCTTAATATCACAATCTGTGGTATTGAGGGAACTTGGCTAATAGATTAATTGGTGCAGGGGCAGTTAGAAAGTGGTAGGAGAACTGGTAAAGAGAGAAAATGGTTAAAAATAAACATCTTGCAGTTCTGTCTAGTTCAGCTGTAAAATGCCTCTAAATAATTTAGCAGAGAAAATGTAGAAGGTGGAAGGCTGAGAACACTTGAACAAGGAGAGAATTGTGTGGTCATTAGTATTTTTCGAAATGACATGCATTGCAGTGTGACAGGCGTTGGCTCTGTTAAAGAGGAATGTTGAAGCTAAATGATTAGAACTTGTTAATAATAAGATATTTTGCTGTTGAGGTAATGTTTAGGGATTAAATCCAGTTACTCTATTTGGAAGTACCAAAATTAGATTGAATAAATATATCTTAAGCTCCCCGAGGAGTACTCTGTGAGCAGTCTTGGATTGCCAGGAAGAGGGACTAGAAGTCACTAAGCTCTTTTTCCATGTTTGGCACTTCTATACTGGTTTTCTTTTTCAGGCTATGGATGCAGCCCAGCTTGCAGATGATCTGAAAGCCCAGCTAGAGCTGGCTCAGAAGAAATTACATGACTTCCAGGATGAGATTGTGGAAAACAGAGTAACTAGAGAAAAAGAGATGTTCAACTTCAAAAGGGCTGAGGTATATACCTGATGTACAATCCTTTCATATCTCTCTGCTTTGGTCTATCTCCTTGCACACTGAGCTTGGAGTTGGGTTTCAGCTACGCTACTTTCTTTGGGGTCCAGTCTCACTTTGATTCCAGCTTCATCAAGACTTGGATCTGTCAGGTTTTGTCCACTGATAACTGACAATATATGTGGCACCAGATGATAATGTAAGTCCTGTGTGGCACTCAACATGGGGCAGGAGTAATGTGAAATAAAGATAGAAATTGGGAGAGGTTATGGGCAAAACACAGACTGAACCTTCTTAGCAGAATAGTCATGGGAATTTTGGTTGTAATTGTGGTGGAGGGACAAGGGGTGGATTGTTTACTTTCATTTGGTGTTGTGATAACACTATTTTCATTTTAATGTGGGAAAGTTTGGGGGTTTTTTGTTGTATTGTGTGATGAATGTTGATTTTAATGATAGTTCTTAAATATGTGATTCATGGAGGCAAGGAGTGGAATGTGTTGGGTCTGTGTGTGTGTGTGGCAGGAATTTTGGTAGTGAGGGAGGGGGCTACAGCAGTGGCCCCTGTGAGAAGCTTCTCAAAGCTCCCCTGGCTCCAAGTTGGACACACTTTTGGCCAGGGCCAAGCCAATTAGCGATGCTGACTGCGCCTCTGTGAGAACATATTTAAGAAGGGGAACCTGGGAGGAGGAGTGGGAGTGATGTTCTTTTTCACCTGATCACTCAGTCCTTCCCTATCAGGGATGAGAAGGAGAAAATAAAACAAAAGGCTCGGGGAATCAAGACAAGGACAGAGAGGGATACTTAACCCATTATGGTCATGGGCAAAAGACCTGTTAGGGGAAGAAAATGAACATCAATTATATTTAAACACCACCACCACCACTTAATTTGCCAATCAAACAGAGTAGGACAGTGAGAAATACAAAGACATCTTAAAAACACCTTCCCCTCACCCCTCCCTTCTTCCTGGGCTCAGCTTTGCTCCCGATTTCTCCAATTCCTCCCTGGCATAAACACAGGGGTGCAAGGGATGAGGGCTGTGGTCAGTTTGTCACCCATTGTTTCTGCCGCTTCTTCCTCCTTGGGGCAGGGAGGACTCCTCGCATTCTTCCCCCGCTCTGGTGTGGGGTCCCTCTCATGGGAGACAGACTTCCATGAACTTTCTCGTGACATGGGTCCCTCCCATGGGCTACCGCTTTTCCCAAACTGCTCCAGTGTCGGTCCTTCCCATGGGCTGCAGTCCTCCCAGCAACAAACCGCCCCAGCGTGGCTCCTCCACAGGGTCACAGCCTTCTTCAGGTACAGCCACCTGCTCTGGCATGGGGTCCTCCACAGGCTGCAGGTCAGCATCTGCTCCACTGTGAACTTCCATGGATTCAGGGGGACAGCCTGGCCTCTCACTGTGGGCTGCAGGGGAGTCTCTGCTCCAGTGCATCTCCCCTCCTCTCCACCCTCTTTCTTCCACTGACCTCAGTGTTTGCATAGCTGTCTCCCTCCCACTCCTCCTCCCAGGATCCCCTTCTCACAGAAGCACAACCACCATTGCTAATTGGCTTGGCCCTGGCCAAAAGTGTGTCCAACTTGGAGCCAGGGGAGCTTTGAGAGGCTTCTCACAGGGGCCACCGCAGTAGCCCCTCCCTCACTACCAAAATTCCTGCCACACACACACAGACCCAACACAAATCTGTAGTAAGTCTTTTGGACTATTGGGGATGAAAATACAGTTGGAGTGACTTAGCCAGGTGCACTGTTGGCCAGGTGCTAGTTATCTTTAGTCCCTGAAGAAGCTGTGATAGAGAATATACAGCTTGTTTATTTGGTCTCTTTTTTTTTTTTTTACAGGAAGATATTTCTAGGTTACGCAGGAAGCTGGAGACCACTAAGAAGCCTGACATGGTTCCCAACTGTGATGAGATATTGATGGAAGAAATCAAGGATTACAAGGTGAATAACTGTCTCTGTCAACTTCCCTCTTTAACTCTAGTCAAAAGGCTGTGTAGCCATGTTTCCAGTATTTGACATCTCTTGTCTCTACTCTGGCATTGTAGCCCTATCTTATATTGAAGGAACCATTTTCTTCTTATGAGTAATGGAAGGACTGTAATCTTCAGTCATCTTTTAAAATACCTACTGCATTGCAGTGGACCCTCACTATAATATTCTGTCTTGCAGGCCCGCCTGACCTGCCCATGCTGTAACATGCGCAAAAAGGATGCTGTGCTCACAAAGTGCTTTCATGTCTTCTGTTTTGAGTGTGTGAAAACACGCTATGACACTCGGCAGCGTAAATGCCCCAAGTGCAATGCTGCCTTTGGTGCCAACGACTTCCATAGGATCTACATCGGTTGATTCTTTCCAGTGGAGTGATGGAAAGTTGCTGCTTATGCTGACCACCCAGCCGCCCTCACTGTCTGTGATTGTCACCTTTGGGGCAGTCACTGCTTCTGTCAGCTCATTTGCAGTCTCTTCTGGGAAGTGTGGTTAGGATATGGAAAGAAACAGATTCTGGATCTTGGTTCCTTTTTTGTCTGTCTTCTTTTATTCTTGCCCTCAGTTTTTGTGAGTTCTTTGTGCCTGAGAGGACATTTCCTATCCATCACTACACTGCCAAGTTGGGAACATCAAGTCCTGCCTTGATGGGATGGAAGCTCTCTGTGGTGCAGCAGAGATAAATGAGGCCTTTATTTGATGAGCTTGCTCTGGATGTTAATTCCCATCAAGGTACAGCAGTGTTTCTGAGAGTTAATAGTTTCCCACTTAAAAGGCCAATAACCAATGAACAAGTACACCTGTAGACTTCAGTGGAGTGACTCCCTTAGACATGTATCATTCTGACTTAGGGTAAGAATCTGTGAAGGCTGGTGCATTAGTAAACACCTTCCCTACCCCCGCAAGCAAATGCACATATTAGTGTCCAGAAGAGCAGAACGAGAAGATGTTGGAGAATCTTTGAAAATAGCATTCCGCTAATGAACCCTGGTTGGTATGTCTATCTTCTCCTAGGTTGAGGCACTGCTATCATTGTCCTTAGTTTCCAGAAAACAATTTTAGAAGTTACTTTGTTGCAACTTTGACAGAAAGATTAATCTCGTAATGCACACAATCTAATAAAAGCTGTTGTCCGGGTTATTTTTCTGGTTTTCTTACCTCTGGTAGTGTCTGTCTGTACTCCTGTCCTATGTCCAGTTACTGGAAACATTTTTCACAAGCTTTAAGCTTCTAAAGTAGAGATTAATTTCTTCCTTCCTCTGCTTTCAAAAAAATGGTTAACTGAAACAACCTTTGTCCTTTTGACTGTATCTTCACTACCTTATTCCTGACAGAACAGAAGGGCCAAGATGCTGGATTATTCTGTCATTTTGTCATGGCCACTGGGAATTTTTTGAAAGGACAGGGCATAGGTTATAGTCTCTGCTCCCTGTACTGTAATGGTGTATTTGAAGTCTGCCCCTAAAATCAAAAAGTCATTTAATTACAACGTTCTTTCATAGGTCATAGTGTCTGTCCTATAAACTTAATTTTCTTGGAAGGTGCAACTGTCAGAGGTTTGTCTCATCTATGTCCCTTCCCTGAATCATAAAATCTGTATTACCTTCCTCTATTCATTGTAAGAAATAATAGAAACAATAGTAAAGTGAAAGCAATTAATTACAGACTGTCTTAAAGTATTCATTATGATTTTTATCTTTCTGAAAACGTTCAAAAATATGAATTCAACCTTGTAAATTATTAAGAATCCTGTAAAGTGAGAGGGAACACGTGACCCTATTTTTGTAAGGGGAAGCTGGAATGCTGAGTTTGTCGTATGGCTAAAGTTCTGTTACAGCATGCGCAGAAGAAATAAAAGCAGAACTTTCTGCTTTCGCTGGATGTTGCTTCTTGGATTACAATTTGTGATGTCAAGTTGGAGAAAGAATGGTGCATTAGGAATACTAATGCTGATGGTAGATGTGGTACAAACGTGTGTCAGTTAAAACTAGGACCTGGGTCACTAACAAACTGTTTGGATCTTCAAACACCTTTGTTCTAACAGGAGCCTTCCTTTTACAGCTGTGAACAACAATCTGAGTTTAAACATGACTTGTAGAGGTGCAAAGCTCCTTTATCCTTTCCCAATCATTGTCACATCCCTTTTCTACTGAAAATCAAGCTTAAAACTTGTATGTATACTGGCTGTGCTGGTTTCACTCTGGTCATGGTAGGAAACAAAGACTTCAGATAGTCTGTATTTGTTTCACAGTTGATGTTTGGAAAGTCCTATTTTCTCTTTCTACAGCAAGAAAAATTAGTATTTTCTTATTTTAAAATAATATTTTAGTTTAAGCTCAGGAAGTCCCTGAAGCTCATTTTGGAAGTAACTAAATTTCTGTGCTTATAATTTAAACATTGAAAAAGAGCAAAAACATTAGATGGTGTTTTGATCTGCCAAAATGAAGTAACTAAAAGTTTATCAAGCCTAGAAGTATTTTAGGGTAAAAGAAGGGAAGGGGGGATGGTATTCTTTACCAAAATCTGCCCAAATTCACTGTCTGAGCCAAAGTAATTAAGTGTAAACCAAGAAAAAGCCTCATCTGCAGTTTCCGGTGCATCTTGTCATAGCCAGTTCTCCCCCCACTTAGGCAGTCTGCAGGCATTGACAGATGTGTGATACTCCCCTCCCACAGAAAGGTACGGCAGTCTTGTCTTTTCATCTCCTGTGCGATCAGGCTGGAGCAATAGCCGAATAAGAAAATAACACTGCAACATTAAAACATGTCTCTGTTAGGCAACAATAACTTGGACCTTCTCCTGAAAGCCTTCTAGCTGGTGCTGCAGTAATTTGGAACATTCTGCATGTGACATAGGAGTAGCCCCTAAGGCACCACCAGAAAGAAAGATTTTTGCTTAATATTAATTATTAGATGGTTGACATTTTTTTGCTTAAACTTTTGTTTTTGAATGAAGAGTGATTTGTTGAAAGCTTGGGTGTTTGGATTGGAACTTGGAACTAAAACATACATTTTTTTGTTTAAGATGTTAGCATTTTCAATTACTTAAAAATTTCTGGGCTCAGGCATGTAGAGATAAGGACCTAACAAACTGTTGATAAACATACCCTTAAAACTGAGATGAAATATTTCTTTCCTAGTGTTTATCTCATAGTAATGACAAGAACAGTGTTCATGTGTTCTAACCAAATGATGTTGGAGGTTGTAAGGTAAGCTCTTCCTAAAAAGCTGATTATCTAAATGGGGGAGAGAGTGTAAGGGGAGGCAACAAAAGCAACCTAAGTGACTTGCCCATAGTCATCTAGCTTGTCAGGAGCAAGGAAAGAAGGGACATCCTAGATCTTTCAGACCTATCTGATGTGCAGGGCTCTCAGTCCCACTTTGCTGTTTTATGTCCTGTTTACTCTTCCCTGTGTTACTAAGTGTTGAAAGAAGCAGACACACTTGCTGCCCAAAAGCAGAGGCCAAGGACTGAGCAGGGAATAGAATATGAACTCCTCTTGATGAAGCTATTTGGTTTGGTTATCATTGCTACCAGCTTTTAGTGGTCCATGCAGATCTTTTCATTTGCAAGTGTTTTTCAAAGGTTAAGGGTGCAAAAAGGTAGAATGCTTTTTTCAAACCCCAAAATACAGTTTCAAATCTGCCTGTAGCCTTTAAACCATGCCTGGTGAGAACATCACTCCTGGCAACATTCACACAGGTGGCTGCAGATATAGGGAGGGCAAGAATTACTTTGGTGACATATCTGGGAGACCAGAGTTAATTCTGACAGTGTTACAAATGTTCTTTTTCCCCGTAATACAAGATATATTGGGAAGTGTTGTTTAAAAATTAATAGAAATCCTGTTTAAATAACACAGTCAGTTGGGTTGATGCAGTATTTATTCAGATGTTGAATGGCTTACCCTTCCTTCCCCTCTGTGCATCATCCAGGTGGGAGGGAGCTTCACTCAGTACATTGCCTTTGAAACCACAGCTTTCATTCTCCTTCACAGTGAGCCCTGGTCCACAGGGAGGCTTTGGTGACTCCCTTTGACTTTGGTGGGAGCTTCATGTCAATAAATCATGGATCAGAGCCCCTTTATATCACTTTGTGAGAAAGAACCTTCTTGCCAACTGAAAACAGAGAATATTAAGAGAGTAGTTTTGCATTGGTGAATACTTCACCTTTGTTGGTAAATACTAACTTACAGTACTGCCACCCCTCTCTTCCCCTCATCCTTGCCCTGTGCCACTGTGAACCCATCCCTTCACATCTGCTAGTGCAGCTGTTTGCATGGCTTCTCTCTGGGTGGGAGTGAAAGCCAACCAGGGCTCAGAAGCAGAGGTGGTGGTTTGGTTTTTGCCACGTTATTTTTAAACTGGGTGAGTTCCTTTATCACAGTTGCAGAGCAGTGACATCTGCATTTGTGCTGACAGAGCTGAGGGAATGGTGTGTACTGGGATTGGCACCAAGAATTTGTCTTGTGAAACCACAGCCTGTGCCAGGAGAAGGGATTGCCAACACAGAACTAGCACCTGGTGTAATGAGGCAACCATAAGGAGCCTTAGAATGAACAGACTAGACCCATAGATATCACAACAAAAACATACCAACAAGGAACATGCTTCCAATGAGCAGTTTAAATTTCAACTTTTTTTTTTTTTTTCTTTTTTTGAATTAATGCACAGAAAGGGCTAAAAAAGTAGGAAACTCGCTGCACTGTCAAGTGGAGGAACTGGGAACTCTCACTGTTTGGATGCTCCTTGTTTCTCCCATCCCTTGGGAATGGCTGATGTTTGTTAGGAGAATAAGAAACTTGTAATGAAAGGAGGAGGACTCAGGAGGGTGGCAGTGGCTGTGGGCTGCTGCAATTCTACTCTCATGAAGAGCATATTGCCTGCTTTATTTTTGCACCTCTTTCTGGCATTACAAAAGTGTGTTACAAATTTTACAGTGGAAGGGGAGAAAGGAAAAAAAAGGGAAAGGGAACGGGTATGCTGGTCTAGGACTCTGCAGTCCTATTTGTCCTCTGATACTCTTCCAGCTCTGATTTCCTGTCCATGGCGAGTTGCAGCTCCTGCTTGATGATTTCAATCTGCTTCTCCAGCTCTGTAAGCTCTTGCATCACTGAGGTCCTAGCAATACTGAGGGACTCTGCCTTCCCATTGGTTGTTAAAGAAGCTGGATTCTTTCTCCTCATCTGTGGCAGGGGGATGTCTTGGTGCTGTTGGATCATCACCTCATTTTGCCCTTCATCAGTGCAGGTATATTTTTTCCGATGACAGTTGCCCAGGTTGGCTGTATTCCACACAGCATGCTGGCTATTCCCTATATGGGATCTGAACACAGATATGAGAGTTAGTATGGAATCAGAGCCTGCTCCTGTGTGTATGCAACCCTCCCCTGTGAGCCATTCTAGTGGAAAAATATGATGCTGCCGTTACACAGAAATAGTGTTCCTTTATCCTTCAAATTATTTTTCTTGAGAAGCACAGATCATTAATTTTTGTGATTAAATCATAGCAGAGACTAGAAAAGAATCCTAAAATTCATCTTCTCCAAAACATTTTTTTTTGTAGTTATGAAATTACAGTCCTCAACTCCAGCTCAGGAAAATGTGAGTCCTTCTTGAACGCCACCTGAAAGCTTTTGTGGTTTCAATGTCCTACGCTTATCCCAGTATTAGTCCTTTGTGCATTAGTACTCTGTCCTGGCTTGGGCATTTGCTCCCATGGAGAACTAAAGAGGCTGCCTAGAGTTCGTGTGGAGAGATGAAGGGAAAAGTGTGCCTTTTGGACTTGAAGACTTGTGGAGTAGCTGCTTGTGCTTTGGGGGATAGACATGGTGATGTGGTGTATCCAAACCCTGCAGGGACACAGACATGAGCTTCCTGATAGAACAAACAGAATTTGGAGTTTTCATGTTGGGGAAGAATGCCCATTTAAGAACTTTTTAAAATGCTTCAATGTTTTCCTGCAGAAAAGTCTTTCCAAAATATTTTGATTCCAGAGCATCTTTTCCCTCTTTCTTGGGAACTTCACTCTGCAGCCCTCCAAAATCAGAGCATTTCCCAGGGTTTCTTCCCAAACAGAGGAGCACCCTGCAGCTTCTGCTGTCCAACTGGAACGTAAGGAAGCACAGAGTTTGCTGTTGTGGGATTGAAGCTTGGCTTTCCTACCTGCTTTACTTTTTGGATAGATCTGTGTGTTCGTTTTAGAAACTGAGGATGAAACTCTGAAGTGGTTGATCTTAAAACTGCTCCACAATAGAGGTCTTCTGTGGGTATCCTTGGACGAAATGCCAATTAGTGTGAGCTACCACTCGTCAAGATAAAGAGGAAGAATAACATTTCAGGATTGGGTTTGCTGGAAACAGTAGGTTTCAGGAGGACTCTGGAGCTGGGAGTAGATACTTTTCTCACCTGCCTGCCGAGAAGGAAGTTGGAAAGTGGAAATTTCTTAAGAGGAGGTGGCGATCATGAGTGTTTTCCGAAAGACAGGGTGGCAGAGAGGGAGGAGGGGAGATTTTAGGCAGGAGTGGCAGTGCCAGTGTGGATTATACTCCAGAGGGCTCAGGGAACCCCAGGGGGAAAATGTACACAGGGTTGTTTATTTTTGTGTAGATCAGCAATTTTCTCATATTTCAAAATAAAAGACAGGAAGACTCTCAAGTCTTGTGCTAAACTGTATGTGTGTTTTGTGATGCAATCATGTTAATCTCCTGAAGAGGTGAAAAACCAAAGAAGTACCTCTTAGGCACATGTCAAACAGGGAATAGGATTAGCCTGGGCAAGTAGAAACTGGTAAAGCATTTCTAGAGCTAAGAGCAGAAGGCTACCACATTGCATTTCTACACAGACAGTGGTCTAGACAAAAAAGGCCACCTAGCAAAGAGAG